CTGAGATTCTGAATTCACAGTACCCTTACTAGCAAGTGGTTTCTATAGTGATTTCTTTCAGGAGATAGTAGTGTAAGTATGTCTGGGTGCTACCCCAAAACAGTGCTACTTCTTTGCAATAGGCTGACATATTTTTCATAAATTCTTCCTAACTTTATTCACTGCTTTGCTACCCCTAGCTTAGGATCTACTTGCTCAGATGTAAACTTTCTGCTTTAAATACTTTTGGCACAATATGTCAGTCTTTAAGATGCCACATAAGCCATCATTGTGTTCGCTGCAACAAACTAACAGGACTGCTATTATATGGTTAGAAAATACCTTACACAAGGTGATCAAGGAGGTCTTGAGAGGGATGTGATTGGAAGCTTATGGGGTTCGAAAAGGTGAAGATCTGAGAAATAACACCCCCAATGATGACATCTCCAGACCGATAATACTTGTGCTTCATGGGAAGAGGATTGCTGATGGGACATTTAGCAATGGGAGAACCATATACCACTTGAGGAATGAACACCAATATGAGGAACATCAGCACCAGCATCCCAAATGGCCCCTTTCCTTCCAAACCCCAATTTGCCTGTTCTTTCTTTGATATCCAAGGGTTCCTGAGCAGCCTAGCCTGATTTGAATCAGTCATCTTAGTGAGAATTAGAATTGTACAAAGGAAGGGATCAGCAGTCAAATTGATGGAGACCTTTTTGTCTTTGGTTCTGCTCTGAATGACATGGGGGTCCTTAATAGCTTCCTTCCAAATCAGTCCACTGATTTATTACTGGCAGCTGAAAGTGCCTTGGGAATGGAGAAGTAGTAGAGGTCATAATTAAGAGTGAGGCAATTGCAAAGGAAATAATCACCTTTTCAGGTTCTTTGGAATATTGTCGAAGAAAGCAAGTGTATCACACATCTCTGCAGAAGTTTCTTCTAATTCCCCTTGATGGGACAGCAAGATGAAGAGATGTGACACTGAAAGTGGATTGAACTAAGGGTAGTTATCTTTATTTTGTTTGTACATGGATCTACAAAGTACTTAACCACCCAATTCCTATCTTACCAATCAGAATCAGTATGGATAAGTTTATGAAAAGAAATACAGAGAAACAAACCTCACAACAATTAACTTACATTTATGTTGCTTCAAGGATGCAGGATGTATATTTCTGTCTATTACACTGGCTTTTCCTCTGTCTGTTGTCCCATGCCTCTTGATTTCATAATGAGATGAAGAATCCTTTGAGGACTCCCCCCCCCTTTCTTTCTTATATTTCAAAAACTAGAATATAGCTATTTCTCAGCCTTTGCCTTGACATGTTAGAACATTATTAACTGTGCAGATTATTCTTTCTTTTTTAAAGAAGTAAAAAAAATGTCCTTCTCCTACAGTTCAAAGTTATATAGTCCTCTTAGGATTCTACCTTCTCAGTCAATCAGCCATTGAGTAACATGGAAAAGTATCCTATGAATTCTCTTGGGCTTTTCAGAGGCTTTTGCGGGCTGCACTCTGTAAAGAAATTTCTCTTTTTCCTAAGGAATACTTCTCCCAAAATATGTAAATGCCGCACTTTAGTAAGTTGACTTGAGCTGCTCACAGCTGTTGCATTTTAGAAAAATATTCCTGATTAAGGTTTTCTCTTGAAATACAGGGGGTCTAAGTGAACATCTTTCCCTTTCACACCTTTGAGAACACATTATCTTTTTGCTTCTCAGGAATTGTATGAAATCATGCTACAACAATTTGCATCTGCAAGATTGTGGATGAAATCCACTGACATTGGTCAGATCCAGGGTAGGATTTTTCAGCTGTGGTGCAATAACCACAATTTTTTAACATGGGAGGCTCCACTCACTTTCTAAGAGAGGCATTAACCACCTCCCAAACAAAACCTTGAATCCCGTCTTTAGACTTTCTGACCAACTAAGATGGGCAAGGGTCAAAGTGAGAAGGTCATAGGCTGAAAATATATGAACACCCTATCCACATCATCAGGATGCAAAAGCTGAAACTCCTCCAGTAGAATGGACTGATGGTGAGCTAGATGCCTCCATTGATGGTACTGGAATAACTGTGTAGTCGAAGTTGTTAAGGATCCAAGCAATTTTCTCCTTGAACTGTCATACAAATTCCACACAGTGGGACTCCAAGCATTTGAACAGATCTCCTTTTGAACCTAAGGGTAAAAGGCCACAAACTACACAGAAAAGCTCTGCTGGAAAACACAACCAATACCACAACACCCATAAAATGGAAATGCTGCACTTTACTAAGCTCACTTAGGCTGCTGGCAGCTACTGTATTTTAGAAATTTGTCCCCGATGAAGACTTTCACTTGAAATACAAGGGGTCCCAGTGAACAAATTCCCATTTTGCTTCTCAGGATTTGAATGAAACCACGCTCAATGATTTGCACTCACTAGAATGTGCATTGAATCCATTCTTTCTATGACTGTGTCATTCTGAAAATCAAACACCAGAGAACATATTATTTCACCAGGCCATCAAAACTGCATCCCACCAAAACCAATTCAAGAACTTCTGACTATCAAATATCCTGTTAGCATTTGATGGCACTTATACATAGGTGATTTTAATTGGATTGGGATTGTTTTGTTTAAATTAATTCATTCTTTCTTTTCATTAGTTGATGCCTGTTATTCAAGTCAGGTCTGATCACAATGACATAGCATTTGCGGGGGGAAATGCATCCAAGCAACCCAGCAGGGGAGGACAAGATGGAGAAGATCTCCACAGTCACAAGCTACATTCCTTTGGTGCTCAGGTAGGTTGGAACAAAGGTCAGCCAGATGCTGCAGAAGACCAGCATGCTGAGTGTGATAAACTTGGCCTCATTGAAACTGTCAGGCAACTTCCTGCCTAGGAAAGCCACCATGAAGCTGACAATGGCCAGGAAGCCCATAAAGCCCAGGATGCAGTACAGCTTAACTACTGAGTCTTCGTTGCATTGCAGGATGATTTCATCAATCATGGAATGCATGTCAAAATCTGGAAAGGGAGGAGAGGTAGCCAGCCAAATTGTGCAAATCATGGCTTGAATCAGAGAGCAGGAAAGGACAATGAAATTAGCCACCTTTGTCCCCACCCATCTCCTCATTCTGGATCCCGGTTTGGTGGCCATGAAAGCAAGCACCACAGTGATGGTTTTGGCCAACACACAAGCAACAGCCACTGAGAAGATGATGCCAAAAGCAGCTTGTTGAAGGAGACAGGTCACCTTGCCAGGGTGGCCAATGAAGAGAAAAGCACACAGGAAGGAGTGCAGGAGGGAGACCAGGAGAGCGAAGGTGAGCGTTCGGTTGTTAGCTTTGACTATGGGAGTGTCCTCGTGTTTAATGGAGATCCAAAGCACCAGGGCTGTGATGGAAGAAAAGCAAAGAGCAAAAAGAGCCAAGCTCATCCCCAGAGGTTCTGTATAAGTCAGAAAGCTGATCCCTTTTGGAATGCATGAATCTTGGTCCTCATTTGGATATTGCTCATCTGGACACTGATAGCAGTAATCCATGTCTGGGGGAGGGAGAGGATGACAACTGTCAATGGATGCTCTATGCATACTGCATTCAGATGACATTACAATGGAAGCTCTGAACTGAGACACTTACTTCCCTCCCAAGTAACTAGATTTGCAGAAATCCATTGACCAGAAAATTAGCTCCTTGTATGTGGAAAAAGCTAATCTAGATAAAGAAGGAGTCTTCTCCCCTTATCATTTTGAAAAAAAAGCTTACAAGAACCCCTCAACAGCACATGCTGACAGGGTCTCCATTCCTGACCATTTCTGTGAGATTGTAAGCCCTCTTCAACTGCACATACTAGTAGATACAGCAGGTTGCAGGCCTTCATCACTAACTGGCACCCAACAGTCCATGTACAAATGAGACTATTTACATTTGAGAAATAGCATTGCTGGCTAATAAACCACAGCTGGACCTCGAATGTCCTGCTCAGATCATGGTCTCTCTTACCCTTTTGACTGGCAACCTTTCCTTTTGGGCATGGCAGGCACTTGTAGCAGCAAAAGGGCTCCCCTTCTTTCTTTTTCCTATTGGAACCCAAAGGGCAGATATCATTACACAGAGAGAGTGGCTGCACCTGTGCAAAAAGTGCTGAATGAATTAGCATGCAATAAAGTCATTGGAGCCATGCATGTGTCATTATCATTACCTGCTCTCCTGTGCTCCTTTCCATCCATTATCATTCCTCAGAGAACCTCCACCCAAAGAATTAAGGGAGGTGGGAAACAGGAGTAGGGGCTTTTCAGTGGAGGAACCCCACCTTTTATTCACCAGTTCTTTGAATTTTTTATTCATTATGTATTTTAAAAAGTAATTGTTGAAAAATTCTACCTAATTTTATTTCAACATAGTTTAGAAACTGCTGCATGGTGGAGGTTAACCATTTTATATGGCGCATTTGCCTGTTTTTAATTTGCCTTGCTTTTATCAGTTCGTATTTTATCTGGGTATTTATTGTAGTACATGGAATTTAATATTTGTAAACCACTCAGAGAGCTCTGTGGGCTATTGCGACAGTATACAAAGTCAATAAAAATAAACAAATAGACATATATAAATAAATAAATTTGCCATGTCTTCTATAGGATGACATCAACAACTCTACAACATCAGAAAACCAGCTAACAACAATTGCCACAGGTACAGCAATTTCAGAGGTCTGAAATCTCACACAGTTATCCCTTTTATTTCAATTTTGGGAGACATCTCAAGAATTAATGCTGAATTTGACTAAAAATGCTGATGTAGTTAGACTTATGAAGGCACCCTCCCCTGGGTTTATAGATATTCATAGCAGCGTTTCAATTATTATTATGGTTTATTATGATGATGATTTACATTTTACCACATGAAGCTGAAGCTCTCTGGGTGGTTCACTTGGAAGTAAGCTGAGCTTACTTCAGAAATACTAGTGGGATTTTTCTCCCTCCAGGTGTTCTGAGCCTGCACGTCACCTGTGCCGAAGCAGAACTCTGCCTGCAAAGGGTGCCTGTGGAGGGTCCATGATCCAGTCCTGCTGGTTGCATCTGGAGGACAGCTGGACTCACTTCCTGCTGGATGCACAAATGGACACCTGGCACTAGTTGGGCTTCAGGCAGAAAAAAATGATTGCTCTCTATCAGAAAAAGGCAAATATTTCCCACTCCTTCCAAGATTTGCACAACTTTTCAAGGGGAAGACAATGACACTGGCTATATGATTAACATGTTGCAAATTGCCAATTCTGTTTGTTTATATTTCTCTTTTTCTTCTCCATCATACTGTTATACTCTCACAGATCAACTGCATGTTTCCCTGAAACAAAATTAAGCAGCATTCGGAGGGATACAGTGCTAGAAATACTGTACCAGGAGATCAAAACTCAGTCAAGCAATTCACAGTCCAAATTTTTGCCAGATGATAAAATGAACCAAGAAAGTCATCCCATGGTCAGAATGGGCCTCATCTAAATGACAAATGAGTTTCCCATCGAAAAAGAGAAAAGAGCAAATGATTAGATGCACTGCAAAATGTGCG